ATTCTAATTCTATGTTTCTTCCCACTCTTATTACCCTTTTTTTAATTTGAAAACAAAATTCCACAAACATTTAATATCATCATCTATGAGATTATTGCTAATTGTATTTGTAACTAATTTAAAGATCACTATTCTATCATACTATAAAAAAGATCTGATTAAAAAAATTGCCAATGAATAAACTCTTAAACCTTATAAAGTAAAATCAATATTAGTGTTTTAGAAAAGTTAAAATGCTTAGATAAAATCATAAAGACAAAATAATTTCCTTTGGCAAAAAATAAAAATCAAGAACTAACACATTTTAAATTCGGTGTTGAGAAAACATGCTAAAACAATTAGCATTTAGTTATAACACTTGATTTGCTGGAGAGATAGAGAGGGAGTATGCTCAGTAGAGAAAGGAGGCTTGATGCTTTTGACACTAATAACACTTGACAGGAAGAGCTGTGTGTTTAAGATTGACACTTATGTGGTTTACACCAAACAAAATCTTTGCTAGGGCTTCAATTCACAAAACTAGAATAATACTGAGTAGTAGGGCAAAAAAATGAGAGCAAGAACTAAGTGGGGAGTGTCTTGAATGCCAAACATTCCTGAGCAAAAGTGAGTGAGTCGTTATGCAACTTGTAGGAGTGAGATTTGCCTGTGGTCTTGATTTGCGATCACCGAACATGATGGGTGAGAGGATTCAGTGATTCAGAGAAGGAACTAAGCAATAGCTGCATTATTTGAACTCTAATGAGAGGGAAGTTTTGGGTTATTATAGTTCACAGCAGCGAGAGTGAATATTTGAGTAGAAATTGAACTTCTGAGTGAATCAGACCCTTAAATCTTAAAAATTCTTAAATGCATCCGCTAAGTGCCCCACATGTGTCGCCTTTGCGTCGAGTTGTGTATGGGCCCATGCTTGATTTTGATTTGGGATTGAAATAGTTAGGATATAATTTTAAGTGTGCAAGATATGTGTCTGGGCATTACGTTAGCATTTTTGTGTCTTGTACTAACACTATATTTTTGATGTGTATGTGTTTTCAAGCTCATTTTTCTGAACTGTTCATCTATTAGATCATGAGGCAGCATATTTTATATGCTTATGTATGAATAGATTTTGATGTTAAATGTATATTTGTAATATTAATTAGTAGTCCTAAGGAACTACTTAAGCACAAGATTTGGTTTAATGTTTTGCCAATAGTTATGGCACATGTTGGTTATCAATATTTTAAGTTGAGGGAAATGTTGGTTAGAAATCATTAATCAAAAGGAGTTTGCAAAAGAAACGCAAAATTATGAAGTAATCATGCTCTTAATCATTAGGGAAGTTACCATTGAGACTGATGAACAACTCATACCTTTAAGTTACTGAACGCTTAATAGACTTTCAAGATATGATGCATGAAATATGTGACATTCAAAACAATTGGTTTGCTTTTTTAGTTCATGAAGTATCAAATCTTTTTATCAAAATGAACCTGAAAAAACATGTCTTGAAATGGTAATTAGATCAACTCATATCAATTGTTTTTATATGCGGATGTTTGATTCATTGGATTGTATCCAGTCTATTGATTCCCAAGTAAGATGTCCCTTACAAAATGTATATCGATAACATAACTATCAACAAAAATACGATAAAGTAGAGGTTCATAGTTCTATGATTGAATGAGAAGATCTAATTTTGGGATTCTTATTTTCTTAGAGATCAATCTTAGAAATGGTTAACAACAGATCTATATTTTCTTTGATATTGAGCGGAAATAGATTTTATGATACCCGATGACAGGCATGAATGAATAGTGATGCTATTTGATATTTTTAATGGTCTTTATGATGATTATACATGAAGTTTTAAGACCATTTCTTGTTGAATTTTGTGTTGTCTGTTTTGATGACATTTCCAGTTATAATATATCTAAAGGTGAAGCATCTCAATCATCTGCAGCTTGTTCTGGAAACACTTTGGGGAGAGAAGTTACATATTAACTTCAAGAAATGCTTCCCTCCATTCTATTTAACTTTTTTGTTTTTGTGGTTTAAAGTATTGGATGTTGATATACAGATATTTTTTAAGGTTATTACTAAGTGACATCAGCCACTTCTTATTATTCAAAGTTTTCATGAACTGGACATTGTTTATTGTCAGTGTATTAAAGGCTTTAATTCTATTATTGCTTCTTTAGTTGATATCCTGCAACTGAAATTCAAATCAAGTGAAATTCAAATGGACTCTTGCTCCTGCAAAGGTATTTGACAATATCATAGCTAGGATGAACGAGTTCCTCTTACTTATGCTTCTTTACTTTGCGAAAGTTTTTGAAGCATCTTGTGATGCTTTAAGAAATGGAATTGATGGTGTATTAGCCATGAAAATTATCCTATCGCCTTAAGATGAAATTGAGGAATGCTATGTAAAAGTGCTCTACCATAGACGTAGATGCCTTCTACTATTGGTGTGTTTATTTGCTTTGCCAAGAGTTTCTCTTATATTTTGAACATTAAGCTCTACAATATTTGCAATTCTAGAATAAAAAGGCTTAGCATGAAAAATGAATTGCACGTATCTTACAGTATCTTTGTCCTTAAACATTATTTAATTGTTGAGAATAAAGCTGTCGATGCAGCGAGAATGATTTTATCTTGGCACTATGAATATTATGATTTGAAAAAATAAAATATGATTATTTTGTATAGCCCAACTCTCTTTTGATTTATCTTAGTTTGAAAAACAAACAAATTTTATCTTCTAATTACGATTTGCATTATGAACTCCACTTAAATGGATCATAGTTATGTATTCTTTGTGCTTCCTAATCTGGGATTTATATGCTTGAGGACTTTTTGGTTACATGAGTCACTATTAAACTTTCTATTTAGTTGAGGGAAGATTATGTTTGCCTCTAATTATGAAAATGGTCATTGGGGTAGTGAGACAATGTTGCACTTATCTAATGTGGGAAGTCATCAATCAAACATCTTGTCTATATATTCTCTTTCGCGTGCCTAATGCATTGTTTAAGACATCAACTTTGATTTTGCGTTAGGATTACAGATTACCCATTGTTGTCCATGGACATAACTCCTTATTAGTGGCAATAAATGTTCTTCTAAGTTGACATATTTCATTCTCTACTTTAGCCTGTTGTGGCTAAATAATTATTTGAGAAATTCTTTACCTTAATGTCCTTCACACCTTTATTATATCTAAGTGGATATAATGTTTGCCAATAAATTTTAAAAATTTAATTAAAGCTTTTTGGAGTATTATTAATGTTTTGTTGCCTTTCACCCTCATATTGATGGGCTCACAATTGTAAATAGAAGCTTGTAAAATTTACTATATTGCCTTATTAGTAATAGTTTAGGAACTGATATTTTTTATTTCTTATAATGGAATTTACTTACAATAGTTTCTAAGCATTGTCACTAGGAAATACCCTTTGAAGTGATGCTTGGGTCAAACTCTAGAAAATTAATATATTTCATACCATTACCTGTGCATGCATGTTATGATTTCATTACATTGTTTAATAAGCGTATGCATAAATTACATTTTGATATGAAAATATAATTTTATTTGCAAAATAGAAAGTATAAGCTTATGGTAGATGTTTATGGGAGATTACAAGATATAATAATGATGATTATGTGTTCATATTAATCCAGGAAGTTTATAATGAAGCATTTAAGAAATTCATGCTAGTTCCTCAACACTCAACAAAATAGTAAGGAATCTTATACTAAATGCATATATTTGATTTTATTTTTTGTAAATATGAAAGTTCAACTTTCAATGGATTTAATGCTATATAGATGTAATTTAAAGCCTTCGAAGTTTCTGACAGGTTTTTCTTACGAGTAATCACTGGATTTTTGCCACCAATTTCTGTCTTGTTACCAGCCCCAACCTCATTCCTAGCTATTAAATAGATTCCATTGTATGAGATCATGCTTGGTTTGAGTATCATTACTTTATTTGATGGAGAGGTCACCTACATTCAGATGACACTTGGATGACTAATGACGTGCTTCTGTGTATCTTTCCTGATCTTTTGGATGAGTACTTTTGACATAACCCTTTGGAGAAGAGTTATTCATACCCAATGGGAGTTGATGGCTTTTGCTCAATCTGCAATGCGTGATTGATTTTATATTTCTTGTTTTATTTAAAAAATTATATTTAGAAAATATTAGAATATGTTTTTTTTGTGTATCAAGGCATATTTGTTTCTTTACTTGTAATTTTAGGGCTCTTTTCATTATAAATAGGACCTCAACACTTAACATAGGATTATATGGTTAAATGTAATAGTTTTAGTAGAGGGCCTCCCTTTCCTCTTATGTTTCTAGTTCTCTCTCTCGTACTTGTTTTGTTCTGTCTCTCGTCCATGAAGCTCCCTCTTATGTACCTGTTTGTTTTCTTTCACTTTTGGTATCGCTTGGACCATTTGAAGAAAACTTGCCTTTTTGTATGTTCCATTAAAGAGAAACTGTAAATCTAGCAGATAAAGAAATTTTTCTCTTCTTATTAAATTCATTTTTTTATGGTTCTTTTTGTATTTTGAACGTTGCAGCGCTGGTTGCTAGTTTTTTTTCCCCTTGAGGAGATTGACCTTATTCTCTTGATGATGTGTGTGCGCTTCTCTGGGCTTTTCAGTTGGTGTTGGGCATTTGAAAGTTGAGATAAGCATAGGAGTGCCTCGCCAGTGTGGGCTCAGTTTTCTGAGCTTTCACTTCCAGTTTCACTTCAAAACCAATAAACTCCAACATCTCTATCTTTTAGTTTTTAAGCCCAGCAAGTTTTTGAATCCAAAATTGCTCTGTAGGAAGCCGCATTTGCAAAGTCCTTCACATTGTGGAGGCCAAATATTATCTGTGAGGCGGTTAATTGTACCAATATAATGCATACTGCATTAACAAGTTTCATTTCTTCATGCATATTTTTTTGCTTGATAGTGGTATTATATATGCTAATTCCTATCTTTGATTTTCCATTCCAGTGGGACGCATGAGATCTACTGTTCAAAAGAAATTAAAATTCAGGGTATTATTGGACCTTGCACATCTTTGGAGAAGGTAGCATTGTCAGTTCCTTATCCATTATTACAACATGCAGAAAATTTTGTGCCAAAATTGCCAACATTTTTAATAAAATGTGCTTGGTTCTATATACTTCACAGAAAGGAGCTTTGTGTTCAGATACGGTGATTGGTCAAGGAAATACAACTGCATGGAAAATATGCGGTCTTGATAGGAGCACTTGTTTGACTGTCTTTTTTGACATATCACCAAGTGAGCGATCAAACCAATCAGGAATCCCAAATCCTCAATTGTATATACAATTCTTAACAAAGTATGTAGTATATTTACTGTCATAGTTTTATTGCTTCATTGTAACTCATGCTTGCCTTGTTAGATAGCGTTATTAAAATTTTTTTTTCCTTTTCATCTGCAGCTATCAGAATCCTGAAGGTGAGATTAGGCTACGAGTTACAACCATCACTAGAAGATGGGTAGAAGGATCTGCAAATACAGCGGTTAGTTATCAAATTATTAAAGCATCTTATTTTGATCCTCTGGTTTATTTTTTATTTTTATTTTTCAAATGTTTTTTTTTTCCACTCGCCGCGTAGTTGGATTTGAATTTTGTTAAGATTTTTTAATTGTTTTTTATTGAAAATCTGGTGATAGCCTGCCTACCCATTTGGTTAATGACTTTTTCCCCCATTTAATTGGGCATCATTCATCTTAGTTTTTCAGTATGAATGGTATGCAGAGCATTCACTCAACTTTGATTTCTCATTTTGGATGGGGAGCAGCATATTCAGAGATTATCAAGGAATACCAACGAGAGAATCCTATATTAATGTCTATACCTCAGTGACAATATGGCGAGCAGAGTTGAGTCGTACAATCCTGTGAAGAATACAATATATTTGATTGAATTTAGATATTTTCTAAGATGTAATATTTACGCTTGAGCTTCTCGTATGATCCTTGTTATGGTGCTGCAATTTCTACTATAGTCCCGCGATCGCTCATGCATCTGATCTGGGCGCAACAAATCCTGCGTGGCATGGACTGGTTCATACCAGGGTTTTGAGGGCTGACCAACCTTCATAATTGGATTTACTTTCTCCTTGTGGGATGGGTCCCCCCCCCC